ATCCGGGTCAGTATGGTGTTGATGTGCTGCAAGGCAGTGGTGGTCAGATGGGAACAGTTGGATATGTCTAAGTGGGTGACAGTCTTCGAGTGCTCCTCCAGGAAGGACTCGAGTGTCTCGTCGGTGATGGACAGGTCGGCGAACTTCGCGGAACAGATGCGGCTATTGTTGGACCGAAATTGCGACAAAAACTTCGTAAACGATTCGCTCATGAGTTCGCTGTTTAGGTGTGTCTCGCGGTATACCTATTGGTCATCGGTTTGCGCATCAAAACCATTAAATTAAATTAGATTATCATTTGTGTCATAATTCATACCATCAATACAGTGAACACTATCTCAAGTAAAATACACTAATAGTGGGGGTTAGGGGTCAGTAGTGTTGACAATACCGGTGCCACTGATTGTGTACTTTAAATTGACTGATAATTTAATTGAAAACCTAAACATTAGATAATTAGCTCAAGACTTAATGGAATAGAGTCTTAAGAGGTGTGAGTACACCATCAGCAGTACCGGTATGTCTGAGTACAAAGGGTGAGGTGAAAGGTCACAGTCTAATGGGTAGAGTATTGCGTAATGCGTGACACATAGACAATGGTATGAATTGGTGGACACATAGACACCACAAACACAAGTGATAACTGACTTGAATGAGTAGATCACAGATTTCTTGTGGTAGGGAAACGCCTCGTAAGTCAATGCCCTCTTTGACCACAAACTGGACACAAGTGTGGAGTAAAGAGTCGGGACTGTTGTCCGCCAACTGCGAGCCCATAGTCTTGTGGTGATTGGGACTCATTGTCTGATAATGTCCTCCGAGTGTCTGAAGCGGTGGTCAATGTCTCGAGTGGTGGCAACGGATCCGTAAAATGGGAGTTAAAACAGGAGTGGAAATGAAATGCGAAACCAATTAACGGCTGAATGAACGGAAAAATGTAATCATTTTTGTGATTCAAAAAACAAGTGAACAGTTTTGGGCGACAATCGCGTGAATGAAGTCTACAATTGAAATACAATTACAATTAAAAGCAGACATTAATTGTCCGTAAAATGTCTGGACGTATAGCCCATTGAATGAGTGGTCGATTGGTTGCAGTGTTTGACAGTCAGTGCTGTAATGGCTTTGAGATAAACACTCAAAACAGACAACACTTTAGCTGTGAATGCGTTCAACACATAGACAGCGACGGAGAGACACCACTCACAGCTGACACACAGTGGTAGGCGAGACACCGCTCGTAGACAACGTTACCAACGATTGCCACTTACTTACTGTAGCTATGGTTTTGATTGAAATTTTAAAGTTAAAAAGTTAGTCTACCTGTTCTAATGTGAACATTATATTTGATATACCGGGTATTTTAGTTTTAACTAGCGGTGTAAGCTATTGAAAAATCAATTAAAAATTTTAAGTAATTAAATTTTAACTTTGTTTGTGAATAAAAGTAATTGAGAATAAGTTTGTATGACACGGGGGCAGACAGGGGCTAATAATTATTGTATATTCTGTATTCAATTCTGTAAGAATTTTGTATTAATTTCATAGTTAAAAGTAACACTTAAACTTTTTGCATTTCAAAATCATTTCCTATAAAGTTTAGACTAATAAAAATTATGTAAATTATTGTGTAGAAGTAGAATATTTGTTAAATTTAATCTGTATTTAAAAAACTAAACTCTAAACAGTTATAAGTTATAACTAGGAATGAAAAAAAGTGGGTATCCATTAAATGAATGACCCCTCAAATATGATAATTTATTAGTAATTTTTACCAATAATAACTTTTGTCACAAAATTTATGAATGCATTGAAAATTGATTTTTATTTTATATACTCATACCTGATTCATTTAACTTGATAGGCTTTCTGTAAGGCATAACAATCTCTGAATAATAAACTTAAATATTTTATCTAAAACTACAGTATGTGTCATATTATTTGCTAAGCTTGTGTTCATTTTGAATCAATAATAATGAATATTTGTATAAAATAAAANTTTGAATCAATAATAATGAATATTTGTATAAAATAAAATAAATTAAATTCACTTGATGAGATTTGTTACAAACAAAAATGATTACTAATAGATTGTTTGCAAACTATTAATACAATTTTCTTTCATTCAGTACGTACCCATAAATACATATAAATACACATAAATACACATTATAGACCCAATAATTGTTCATTCCTAGTTATAACTTATAATTAAAACTGTATTTAGAATTCAACAAGCTTATTCAAAAAGGACACAATTTTTATAAACTTTGTAATGTCCCAATAATTTCTAACTAATTCTTAGGGAACTCTTGTTTACTGCACTACTTGTGCACATAATTCATCAATACGGTGGCCTACGCCACCTCTCATTGAGCGCCTGACCCACCCTCTGGATGTTGGGGGTGCGCATACTGGTGTCAGAGTGGGTCATCTGAGTGAGCAAAGTGAGGGTGTCCCCTCCGGAAGCGAGTGCCTAACAGACGATCGGCAATCAGTTCCTCAATGAACTGATGCTCATTGTCTGCGCTGATGTACTGCTCCAGACCTGCCATACCTGCCATACCTGCCATACCTGCCATACCTGCCAGCGCGGCCGCCAGTGTCAGCCCCAACGAGTAGACGTCACACTTGAGGAGATCCACTTCCAAGTGTCGGAGCGCTTTGTTCCGCATGTACTCACTGATCTCAGGCGCTGAATACACGGGGTCGGCCACTTTGCGCAGCCTAATCTTGGGGTTGTCGCGCGGGAATACCTGTGCGCTGCCGAAGTCAGTCAGTTTGTAGATAACCTGGTTGAGCTGCTCACTTTTGATTAGGATGTTGGCCGGTTGCACGTTCAGGTGGGCCATAGTCCTCACCCCATTGGTGTGCAGGTATGTGAGCGCCTACACCATCTGCCGCAACCAAAGCCATGCCGTGTCCTCATTCAAATAGCCGTTGGCGCGGTTGCCTATGAAGTAAGCCAGGTCACACTGACACAGGTCCATGAATAGAAACACAAACAGGTTTGAAAAGCCGCTGCCAGTATCGGCCGAGTGGTACTCCCAAGCGATGGACTGTATGTTCTGGTGGTTGAGGTCTTTGAGCGCCTGCACCTCGTGAAGCATCTTGTTCATGGCCTGCCGAATCTCACGACCCCCGGGTGCGTAGTATTTGCGGATCTCCAGCACCTTTACTGCCACCCGAGCATCGGAATTGGTGTCAAAGACCCGGTACACTTCGCTGTATCTGCCCCTAGCTAGTAGGGCCTCGAATTGATAACCCTGCTCATTCAGGCTCGCCTCCTCATCACGCCATCCACGGTTCAGATCAATGTCTGTCCAATTGAATTGAGTAGCGAGTGATCCCACACTTCCGAAATTAGTCATTGAAGTCATGGATGTACTCATTGAAGTCCCATCACTTGAGCTGCTGCTGCTATCATATGCATCCCGTAGTCCTGACATCCCGTTCCCTATAGCTATGGAAGTACTACGAATCAGTTGTCGATAATTGTTTCAAATCTAATGTTTATCATTCATTCAAAAACTATTTGGTCAAAATTTCCTAAATTTTTATAAAAGTATTGCTTTTAATTACGATTTTTAGCGCTTAATGAATACCTTTATTATAAAATAAAAGATAATTTTTGTATTGATTTTTTCCTATCAATTGATTTGTTGATTTGACTCTAAATTTCATTGAAAATGAGTGTAGAATATAGTGTTCACTACAGTACTGGCGGTTAAACCTTATAAGTCTCCTCTTCGGGCCACTCTGGGTGCCAGACATCTGTGAGCCAATTGGACACCTCCTGGAATGTCATCCGGACGGTGGGATCTGTCTGAAGCATACCGTATAATAGAACAATGAGCTCATGTTTATGGGAATAGCTACAGGTGCTAATCAGGCTGTCCTCAATCCATTTGACAAACTCATACTCATAGGTCTCGGAGTTCAGATACGCCTCCGTGTCAAAGCCCATGAACCCGATGAGGGACTCGGCGAGGGTTACCCCCAGCGAGAAGACATCACACTTACTGAAGTCGACGGCCGCAGAAGCCGTTCCCAACTCAGGCGCGTGTCGGAAGTCCACCTGGCGGACCTCCGTCTGGCCCACCATTCGTTGGGTCAGCCCAAACCACTTGGCCTGTCCGAAGTCCGTCAGTTTGTACACTTTGTAGCCGTCCACCCAGATGTACAGTATGTTCTTTGGCTTGACGTCCAGATGCACCACCTGTTTGACGCGGTTTGTCTGCAAATAGATGAGCGCCGACACGATATGAGACATCCATAGGTGCGCCTCGTACTCATACATTGCGCGCTCCTCTAACTCACGGTCGAGACTGCCGGCGCACATCTCCATGAATATGCACAGGAATAGTGTGGCGAATCCCGAGACCGGGTTCCGCACGTGGACCGCGAAATCGATGCTCAAGATATATCGGTGCGACAGACCCGACAGGCTGTGCAGCTCTCGTAGCATCTCGTTGCGGATCGCGTCTAATCCTGCCATACCCTCCCCGCCCACATACCTACTTGACTCCAGTATCTTAACGGCCATCTCGTTGTCGTTGGCGTCGCGAGCCTTACGCACCACACCATACCCTCCCCGTCCCAACTCCTCCCCCAATTGGATCTGCAATTCATCGACGAAAAACTTTTCGCACTCTTTGTCGAAGTACTGATCGAGTGGTAGTTCTGGAGGAATGCTTTCTGTGTGCTGTTTTTGATACTGTAGGGGTCCTTCGGGAGGGACAGTGCGCTCGGGGAACTGAGGTTTGTCGTAAAACTCGCGAAACAGTCGGCCCTCCTTTGTAATGGGTTCGCGGGTGTAAAATATGCCCGGACTTGATGTCGAGCGTGCGAGTGGTCGCCCCTCAGGTAAGTACGAAGTAGGCCGGCGCCGGGGTAAATCTCCCGGTGCTTCCTGGGTGTACTTCGGTATTTTGTCCATTTGTTTTGTATAGTTTGGGATAGTTTTTAAGGGATAATTTAGTAGTTTTGAAAGTTTTTGAGTTTTTATTTGAATGTAATGTTAAATATGGTGCATATTGTTTGCAAATTTTTACGATTAATGTTTTAATCATGTTTTTATTTTGTATTGAGATCTTAAGAATTAAATTATAAACATATTGATTTTAATATAATTTTATAAACGTTAATTGTGTATCTAAAAAATGTCTGTCCCACACCTTTCCAAATTAATTATAAAGATTAATTTTAAATGCTAATTTTGTGACTGTGTTTCAAATGTAAGTAAATTTAGTTTTTACTTAAATTCTTAAACAAACAGTTTTAAGACTTAATTATCTGTAAAATTGAATATTGAAGTTGAATACTTAATAAATTTATATTGCGTTCAATATTACGCTGAAATTCACTATCATGTAAATAAAAGTTAAATCAAACTTAAA